CAAAAATTTATGGAATCTGATCCATATAATCTCTATAATACTCCAATTTAGGGAAACTTTCACATTAAACAACTACAACTTTCAGGAGAATGAGACAAGGACTAGGACTGCCACATAATAAACCCAACTTAAAGTTACAAAATATCTAATATTAATTTCAATCCCATGTGAACATAAAAATAAGACTTTAAGTATATATATATTTCAAACAAGAAATCACCTCATGCAAACAAGGATGCTCATACTATATGACAGGGAAGAAGGGTTACCTAGATCCCAACACGGGATGAACGAGACACATGCCTTTTCTTATTATCCTTGTCTTTGTCCTTGTTCGCTTTCGTGATTTTCCAGCCACAAGTCCTAATTTTTTTTACAGGAAGAAAGGTTGTCAAACTTGGATTGGAAGCATCTCCTTTTCTATGTATATTTTTCTTTAAAATAATAAAAAATCAAAAATCAAAATGTGAAGATACAGAGTAGTTAAGGTCCCGTCCCACAATCCTCAGAGAAAGAGATATGAAGATATGAAGATACATTCGACCAAACAAAAATTATAAGATGTACATAAGAAGGGGAATGTCAAAGGGGAATGACAGTGAAAATGGTACCTTGACGAAAATGGTAGCTCACTGGCGGTGGGTAACAGTGGTTGTCACTGGCGGTGGGTAATGGTACCTCCCAAAATCCTCGTATGAAAGAGACGAAGTTCAATGCTTTCTCACTGGCGGTGGGTAACAGTGGCTCACTCGTGCTTCAATGCTTTCTTCACCCAAATGACCATGAGACGAAGTCAGAGAGGGATGAAGTGAGAAATGAAGTGAGAACGCCCTAAACCAAAACTTTTGGGATCCCAATTGGTGGAAATTGCACAAATTTTGGGAGGGATAATTAAAATTTTGAGGAAATTAGTACAATTTAATAAAATTGGACGGTGACATTAGTTCCAACTCTTCCTTTAGTCAAATTGGTAAATTGTGTAGCAACATAGTTGGAGCAACTTGGAGGGCAAGGTTTCGATTCTTGCCTCCATGTATTTTTACAATATTGTATCACTATTTTTAATATATAATCTTATTATTGGATAAATATTTTTAATGTATAATCTTAATTATATATATCTTTAATGTATGATAATAATTGAAATTTCATTTAATTATAATATTAAGTATAATTTATTTTATTTACAATATTTATTAACATATCTTTTACTTATACTATATATTAAAATTTATAATATTTTTAATTTAAAACTTTCATTAGTTATGATATTATTTAACAAAATTAAATTCTATAATATTATTCATAAAAAAATTCATTTATAGTACTGATCATCATAATGAGTGTAACACTTGCTTAAATTATTTCAGCACTATCCATATATTTTTATTTATTGTACAAGATAATTTGATCACGTATACTCATACGAAGAGAAAATAGAAATTAAGAATAAATTCATGTGTTAAATATCATTATGTTTCCTCGTCACCGTATAAAGTTCTATTGAGAAACAAAAAACGAAGACCACTGCCCTTTCTGACTGTAGCTGCACGAATCCCTCTTTGCGAGATTCAATCGACAAACTGACCGTTAGATATAAAAGTATAATGGGTGTAACCCTTCCTAAAAATATTTTAGCACCATCCAACGGTGAATTTAAGATAAAACCTTCTCTCAATATTGCTGCCTCCAACAAGAAAAGCCACCGTCGGATATGAAGAATGATGAGTCGGGAAGCCAACAAAATCTCAGCTAGACTGAGCGGTAGATGAAGGATATCTCGTAGAATGATCAAAGATTGCTCCTTCCTCAATTCTCCTGTGAAGCTTTTGAAATTGTTCTCTCTCTATTTTCTCTTATAGTGACTGATATTCACACTCCCTTGTCTTCAAAATGCTATTCATGCACGTTCAAAATGGCTGCTGGACATCTTGAACTGGGAACCCTAGCTTTCTTTATTGGGGTGGACTTGACTTTTAATTAAGTGGTTAAACCCCAACTACAAAGACCAATGCCCTTTTTGGTGGCACCGGAAGCATGTGTCACTTTTCATTTATTTGTACAGTGATGACGGTGAGGGTGGCTAGAACGTGTCTCATTCAAACATTTTTCTCTACTTCTACCTTTTCAATCATTTGTACGCACACCTTAAATTTCAATAGAGTCTTATCTTTCCAACGATTAACTCACACAGGCACTATTGTCACTACACACACTCAATGTTTGCCACAAGAGGATGCGACGACCCATTTAATAACTTTTTCTCATACGCATATTGCATCTTTTCTATATAGTCTTCTCCTAACTGTAATGACACCTTCCCAATTTATCCCCTTGTCCCTTTAAAATTTGATTTATATGTGTTTTTTGAATTTTGTGAGGGAATATCATCCCTCGCAAATTGCGAGAAAAATAACGAGGAAAATTATGAAATTTCAGTTGCAATTTTTTATCCTACATTTTGCAAAGGAACTTCCGTCGCCAACGTTTTTCGTCACTAGTTTCCGTCACAGAGTTATGATTTTTGCGAGGAATTTAATTCCCTAGCAAATTGCGACGGACTTGTGACGGAACTGCAACGGATTCTGCGACGGTGTTGTAGTGAAGGAAATTTCGCCAATTTTCCGTCGCAAGTGTACTTTCCTTGCAAATCCCTCGCAGTTTGTGAGGGAAATTTTTCCTTGCAAATTTCCCTCACTATTAGCGACTTTTCTAGTAGTGTTATGTCTCAATATAAAATCTTAAAGTATTGGGTTCGTGAGTTTATCCACTTATATAGTCTTTACTTAGCCTATATACCATAAAAATATGAGACTCCATCACACTTGAATATCCCAATAATCTTAAAACCCACATTGATATACTCTCTCTCAATAGAAGTCTAACCCACCTCTAGCCAATCACCTGGCTAGTTTGAGCCAAACCAGACTAGACTACCACCAATTGACTAAGCTAAACGTATCACACAAAGTGGGTCCGACATTATGTCTCAACCCAAATTCTTAAGATATTCAGTTTATGTATCCATTCACTTATATGATCTTCACTTAGTCTATTACCAATCAATATAGGACTCTATCACAGTTGAATATCCCAACATAAATCTAAACATAATTCTTGAATTTTGAATTTATTGTTTCTTGTAATCCAAAATTTTAATGCCTTAAATTTTTTATAGATTTTTTTTATTTGTACATTTCTTATTTAATCCATTTTTAATCAAATATGACTTGTTTAGTTATCACGCATGAATAAATTTACCAAAATTTTTCAATTATATATATAAGGGTTTAATTATACTCTTTCTTAATCTGGCAAAAAAATTAATTTAATGCTTTTTAATAAAATAATTACGCATTTATTACAGTTTTAAGAATAATTACGGACCCACTGCACAATGTGACACCCCATTGAGGCGTCTCACCCTAAGGGGAGACGCTCCAATGGGGCGTCACACTTGAGCCCTATATATTTTCCTTCCACTCTATTCACTCTTCACACCTCTTCTCTCACTCTTCATATCTCTTCTCTACCAAAATTCCTAACATCATACAGACATAATCCTTTTTCTTTAATTTAGTATTTGAATTTTATTTCTTATTCTATTTAAGAATGAGTTCACATCCTAATTCTGTTCGTGTTGTGTTATATTACAATGGTAGGAAGGTAGAAGGTCGACGAGGTGTCATGTTTGAAGGTGAAAAAAGGCCGACACGAATCCAACGCAATGCAACCATTGGCGAACTGCATCAGAGAATTCGGCAGAAGTTAAATCTTCGAGGCAACCAATGTATCACTCAGATCACGACAAGGTTATAGCAATGTGATAAATACATTAGTTTGCAAGTGGTCGACGATGAAGACGTGGAGATGACAATGGAAGAATTTTTCAACCAGTCAAGGACAGATTTTCTAGAGTTGTATGTCGACATCGCCGCAGTAGAGAATGTTCCATTACCGGTGAGGTCAGTTGATTTAAATTCTTCCCGTCTTTCATCTTCGTCTGTCGCTCATGCGTTTCTAGTTGGTAACATTTTTTAGGGAGATGAAAATGATCTGACTTGGGAAATGCACGACGAAGACGACGACAACAATGATGAAAATATCGCAATGGAAGAACGTCTTCTGGCGGAGGATGCCAGTGCTATAGAAGAAGATGAAGATGGTGAGATGGGTGCGTCTCAAATCCTAGTATACCATGAACCAGTGGTCGCGCAAATGCCGCAGTTGCATGACGTTGCGTCTGCCCCATTAGGTAATCATCGTGAAGGTAATTGATATAATTTGTATATACCTGAATAGATACCTGATTTAGGAAGTTTGTATTAAAAAGTTTTAATTATCAGATGCAGGTGACGAAGCTGTTATTCCTTTTTGGGAAGGAATTCCGCATTATTCGTACATTGATTGGAGTTATCAGAGCGAACAAGAATCATGCACTGATGGTACGGTTTCAGGATTGGGTTCAATACAAGGTCCGTGGCAACTGAGTGACAAGTTATTTGTGAACCAAGAATTTGCAACAAAAAAAGACGTCCAAATGGCACTTAAGCACAACCTGACTAGGGAGCATCGAGAAGCAATTGTAATTGAGAGCACGCCTGCAAAGTTATCCATGAAATGTTGTGCGTATTATAAAGGTTTCCCGTGGCGCGTTAGGGCGATCAAACCAGTGTTTGGTGAAAATTGGAAGATTACGAGATGGGGTGGATATCACAATATTGTTTGAATGACCACATTTCCCAGGGACATAGACAACTTGATGTAGACGTTATTGCGGATCTCGTTCTAGGTACGTATTTATTTTCGATGAGATGTCAACGTTTACATACTACTGTGTAATTAAATACGTTCTATGTTATCGAGTCTGTGACCTCTTTAATGCAGGGATGATAAGGGAAGAACCATCTGTCTCAATTTCTTTGGTTCAAGAAAGGATAACCTCTAAATAAGGCTTTAAAGTTTCCTACAGAAAGGCATGGTATGCGAAGCAGAAAGCGATGGCAATTATGTACGATGATTGGGAGGAATCGTATGCTTTTTTGCCAAGGTGGTGCGAATACATGCTTCGCTTTTCTCCAGGTTCATTTTATCATATCCAAACAAATGATTTTTATGCGGAGCATGGGTTAGTTAATGGAAAAAAGGTGTTTCATCGCATTTTTTGGACGTTTAGACAGTGTTGTGAGGCGTTCAAATCTGCCAAACCAGTCATACAGATTGATGGAACGCATTTATATGGTAAGTACAAAGGCAAATTGTTGGTGGCCACTGCCCAAGATGGAAATGATGAATGTTTACCAATCACTTTTGCCATCGTTGAAGGTGAAACATTGGAAGCATGGGACTATTTTCTTGTTAATATTCGTGCTCATGTTACTGACATGTCAAACATATGCCTGATCTTTGATCGTCATCGTAGCATAATATCTGCTGTGGAGAATAACCCTAATTGGCTGCCACCAAATGCATATCACGTGTTTTGTATTCGTCATATTGCAAGCAACTTCAATCAAAAGTTTCAGAATGAGGGTTTGAAGCGGATGTTAAAGAATTTAGGTAAACTCATTCATATATCCTTATTTAATTCTTTCCATTATGTGTCTCAATTTATGTTTAATACGTTGATGTCCAATTTGTGTAGTCTATACTCCAGCCATGGTTGATTTTGAAAGAAATCTTGCGAGATTCCGTGAGACTAGTCCTCAAATTGCTGAGTGGATTGATGCCATCCCTAAGGAAAAGTGGTCGCGTGCCTACGATCTTGAAGGACGCAGGTACTGGCATATGACAACAAATTTGGCAGAATCTGTGAACAGGGTTTTGAAGGGGGCTAGAAATATGCCGATAACTGCATTGGTTAAGCACACATATAGCAGATTAGTTCATTATTTTGTTGAGAGAGGTACATCTGCCGTTGCGCAACTTCAATCAGTTAATCGTCATTGCAAAGATGTTGTTGAATTGGTCAAGAAGAATCAGGTACATGCAAAAGGTCAGCATGTTCGTGCATACAACGTGGAACATACTGTCTTCGAGGTTTATGCAGGTTGGGATCGTTCATATTTTGTCAATCTCCCACGGAGATTTTGTCAATGTGGAAAGTTTAAGGCCTTTAAGTACCCGTGTAGTCACGCTAATGCTGTTGCTTTAAGTGTTAGACAGAGTCCTTTCACGTATGTAGACGATGTCTTCTTGACAACTAAGTTGGTCGAGGCTTATTCTTTTCCGTGGGAGCCAATTGGAAACAAGGAAGCAATTTCCACCAAGTACAGGTCCAAAGATTATTCCTGATACCACTATGTTGCGTGCAAAAGGTTGTCCAAAGTCAACTAGCATACGCAACGAGATGGACGAAGTTGAGACAAGTCAAAGCTGTATCAGGTGTGGACTTTGCAAGGAACGCGGCCATAATCACAGAGCATGTCCAAATCGTGGGAGAAACGACTGAAATACTCAGTAATTAATCTACATGGATATTTTAGAGCTTGAATTGTAACGTACGTAAATTGCATACCTGGATATGTCGCATCCGGACAACATGTATAAATCCTGCCTGTGTGAGGTAGTCTGTGACCACCTCTGGAATAGCGCCGGTAGGTGGCCCCCCTGTGGTTTCCCACGCCTGGTCTTCAGTCTCCTCACATGCTCTGTATTCCACACTCGCTGTGAAATATGGGCACTTTGCGTCCTCTTACGAAGGGTGTCCCATCTATAAGGCCCAAGTATGATGTACATGCTAGGATCAATAGGCTCTGGATCCGATGCAGAACCCGAAGATGATGATGAATCAGCCATGACTCTAAACTATATAATATAAAACAACATTGAAATTAATCACATGTAATAACACATTTTATGTACAAATTAATTAAGCAATGCCCTAATTTATTATCAAAAATATTAAGCATAAACCCTACGTTTTTACTACAATCGAAATTAATGAAATAATATTAATACGTAGTACAGTAATTTGTTTGTAATACTGACATAATACTTAACTCTAAGTCACTAATAATTTCATAAATATGTACTAATAATAACACATAACTGACTACAAAATTATCAATACACTCCCACATTAATAACATCATACAAAATTTACGAAGTCACTATCACTATTTTCTAAATCACTAATTAATACGCTAAACCCCAATGCATAATTAAATATTAATAATAATAACGACGTAACAAAAAAATTACTAAATCATTACAACATTCATAGCATGGTACAAAATTTTTAAGTTACTATCCTAATGTTCTAAGTCTCTAATATACGATAAATCCTAGCATGTTCGCAAGGTAGCACTGTAATTTAAACGTATACATAGCAGGTATTACAAACTTACCTAAGTTGGCAGAGCTTCGCTACGAATATTTTCGCGTTCGGTCGGGAGCACAATCCATGGTTAGAGAGATGTTAGAGAGAGGTAAGAGTGAGAAGTGAAATGGTAAAAATGGGAGTATATATAGGGCACAAGTGTGACGCCCCTTTTGGGTGTCACATGTGACGCCGCATTGGGACGTCTCCCCCTCATTGGGGTGTCACATTGTGCAATAAATGTGTAATTATTCCTAAAACTGTAATAAATACGTAATTATTTTATTTAAAAACATTATTTTAATTTTTTTGCCTTCTTAATCTTCCATAGTTTTCATCTATATATGTCATTTCCTAATCATTTATCCAATCCCTCCAGCCAAAATTTGACAATGTTACTGAAATAATAATCATAGTAAAAAAAATAAAATAAAAAACTTCCTGTTTTGACTTATTTTCTTCCATTCCATGATTTTGGTTGTTTTATTAGTAAGCGTTCTATCCTTGGTATTTAACTTAACAAAGCTCCCAGTGGACGCTCAATCTCTCGCGATTATCCTGTTGATCATTCAGTGCATTGCGTAATTGCATACGATGTGTTCATTGAACTTAGCTTAACTCACTGTTACGCACAGTCTTCAACTCATAAACTCAAATGATTTTAGTTGTTTTTCAATTGAAGTCACAAAACTGTGCCTCCTCTTTTCATCTTTAGCACTGAATTAAACACACGGATCCCTGTGTAACCAACATGGTCCAAATCACCATGCTGCCAAGAATATAGTCTAAGTGTATATTTATTTGTTCACAAGACCTAGATTGATATTTTTGGGTCTCCGTGAATTCTGTAGCCAAAAAATATACATAAACAATGATAAAATGACATAGTTTTGGTATAAAAATTATAAAATAATTTTGGTCAGTGTTTTAGGATGACTGGATTCAATGCATCTTATCCAAAATTACCAAGGCCAATTCATGAATGTGTGAAGAAGGGTATGCATCATTGAATGTAACTCGTGTGTAGCCGTATTGTGATGTTGAGCTAGCTAGCTGGCTATAGATAAACAAACCTGTGTTACACATTATTTTCTTCTACATGGATCTTTTTTTCTCTGTCTAGCACTTTTGACAGAGCAGCTAGAACTTTTGTAGCTGTTTTTTTCTTCTACGTCCGAGTTGTATCTCCTCCAGAGTGAAGTTAGATACATCATAAAAAAGAACATGTGGGATCCACAATGGATCCTGTTCTTTTTCTTTTCCCTCTAATTCTAGAGCTCATTTTTATTGCTACCCTAGTAATGAGTGTTAGGTATTACTGTTATGTGGCTAGGAGAGCCTAAAATTGGGAAGATATGTACGTATAAATAGACTAAGTGACAATCTACCATAATAAGCGAGTCTATAATTACGTCTTAAGTCAAAACTTTAAAATATTACATTTATGTATTTTTACACTTCTATATTCCTTGCTTTGTTTATTTCTATGCAAAACATTATTTGTTACATTTGAATTCCCAACACTTATAATTTTATTTTCTGGGTGTTTGGGGTGCTGATAATGTGGCTCGAATTGGACTCTCTAACTGGGGCGACGAGGTCCGTGATACTGAAAGTCATTTCAGACTGAATTCATTTATTAATCTTGTTGTCTGTTATAACTGAGACTAGACCATATCCTTGGTCTGAGCTCTATGATCTTCGGTCTGTGATTCATACCGTCTCTGTTGGATATGAGTTCGACTATTATGATTTTAGCATAAGGGGGCGTTTGGTTGAGGAGAAATTTTTTGAATACTAGGGAAATGTAATTGATAGAGAAATGGTTGAAAAGTGAGATAAAGTGAGATAGGGATAAAGTGAGATAGGTAGGAAAATGTAAACAAAAAAGTTGTTTGGTGGGGAAAAACTTTACTGGGAAAATTAGGTAACTTTTATGAAATCTATGTTTGGTTGGAGGTAAAATATAGATTGGAAAACAAGTTGGTATTACGAAAATAACCCTGATTTTAAATTTTTTTGACGGTGGCATGCTACAAACAGGGTTGTTGCTCTCTCTTGGAAGACAGTGATCAATGGAATCAAACAGAGCAGAGTAATATTTCAAAGCATTGCACACTCTTGTTTCCAACCTGACCTCATTGTGCTGTGCTTCTTGCTCTGCCACAACCACCATTGTAGGATTTGTGCTGCGAATGAGCCCCAAAAAATCCCTCAAAGATCCTTCGCTCCCATCATAAAGCGTCTTGTGTAGCTGCAGAACACAATTCACACCCACGCTTGTAGTCATGTTAAGGCCAGGCTGTAACCAAAAATTTCCAGCACCCATTTGAGCCAAACTCAAACCTTCCCCTCCTCCTCCTTCCAGAACATCATCACTGCTACCCTTTTTTCTCTTTGCTTTGTTGGGAGAAGACTCGTGCTCTGTGTGCTCATTGAGGGTACGCTAGTCTTTTGGTTAAAAACCAATGTCAGCAAATAGCTTGCTTTTCACCAATACCACATGATCAAAGGGAAACTTTCACCGGGTATCTCCATGAAAATAAATATGCATCTTGGTTTGGTAGGATAGTGATTTAGGTAGGTAAATATGCAAGTTGGCTCAACCAAACATGGTGTAGGGATATTCCCACTTCTCATTTACCCATCTATCTCAACATTTTCCCCCAACCAAACACACCCTAATGGGTCCCCTCAAGTGTTTCCTTTTCTCCCAAAATAATTTGGCTGAGGTCCATGATAGGCGAGGTTTCTTCTGCTGAGTTCTGCGACTTAGCGTTCCCGTAGTTATTTTGAACTTCGACTTCCGGGTTTCTATGTTTTGTCCTTTTATCTTCCTATACAGTTGCGCCTTTACACGTGGTGCCTTGCGACTGGCTAAACGTGCCTAGAGCAGCGCATGCTGCCTTCACGCATCGTGTGCATCAATTGCTGCTATCAGAACGTCTCTTCAACCGCCATGTATCCTAGAAATTACCAGTTTGCCCTTGTCTTTTGCACTTCGTGCCGTAGGGGGCGTTTGGTTGAGGAGAAATTTTGTGAATACTAGGGAAATGTAATTAATAGGGAAATGGTTGGAAAGTAAGTTTGGTAGGAAAATGTAAAAAAAAGTTGTTTGGTTTGAAAAAATTTTACCGGGCAAATTAGGTAAGATTTATAAAGTCTATGTTTGGTTTAAGGTAAAATATAGATGGGAAAATAAGTGACAATTATGAAAATATCCATGTTTTTACATTACGAAAATATCCACGAAAATAAGTGGCACTAAACTAGAAAACAAAAACACAGTCAACATGCCATAAGCTACCCTAATCAAAGAGTCACAATCCTTTCTTTCTGTTTCTGCTGGGGCTTTGCCCCTTAATGTTACCAAAAAAAAAAAAAGTGACAATCCCATATCATCACCCTCCTCCTCTTCCTCGACCTTTTCTTCCTTTTTCTCAGGAGCCGGAGCAGCATCCGCAGCTGGGGCTGCACCTCCTGCAGGAGCAGCTGCAGCACCAACACCACCTCCAACGAACACTGCACCACCCACAATCACCTGAACAAAACATTCAACAGAAGCAATAACCGGAGGAATCAACGACGAGTGTGTTAAGCAAGGGTAGTTTTGGGAGCACCCATTTTCATGGTTTTCATTTACCCAGCTATCGGTCAAATACCACCATGGAAATAGGATTTTAGCGCCGTGATTTTAGTCCAACTTTGCGTGCAAAACTCAATTGCAAGGCAAATCAATTAGGTAGGCAAATTTTTGGATCACTTCTACCAAACGTGGAGAATCAACTTACCCATTATCAGATGCCCATCAAAATTTTGAGAAACCCTCAACCAAACGCCCCCTTAGTTCATTTGGTTTTACCCTATTCACTTTCGCTTCTCATTATCTTGCTTCTGCATTTCTAAGTTCTTCTTCTCCTTCCCATTTTCTTTTGCATTTCTTCTTACTCTGGGTTTTTGGGTGTTCGAGTAC